TTTTCCATATTAAACTTTTAATTTACTATTTGAGTTAGATATTTTTTTTAAAAGTTAGATTTTTTAGGGTTGGAATTAATTATTGTGAGAAATTTCTGGAGGGAATTAATTATTGTGAGAAATTTGTGGAGGGAATAAAGATTTGTAAAGAGATTTGTGCAGGGAGATGTTTGATTTTGAAACATGAGGATACTACGGTAATTTTACATTTAAAAATTATGAAATTATTAATAAATAAGGAAGAATGAAGTCATAGATTATGTTTTTTCAAAATGGGGTCATAAATCCAAAGTGAATTATGGGAGGGGTGAAAATTTCAAATTTTCCTCGTGGACTTGACATTTGAAAAACCATAGAAAATATTGCACATGATTACAGAGAGCAGAGCATTATGATTGAACTTTCGAGTATGCAAACTTTACACCATTATATTTCTTTATATTGTGGCCTAATTGGTATGATATAAGCTGGAGAATTGGGCTATGTCTAAGCCTAAGCTGTTGTAGAAAGTGCACAAGTTGAGTCCCTAGTGGCTTGCAAACTCAGTTTTTAACCGATCGAGGTGAGAGTTTTTTGTATTGTAGGGGTTTGTATTAGTTATTGGATCTGTCATTCACAGTTGGCCTCCACTCTTTTAGGTCAGAATTTTTCGTGTCCACATTTATGACAGTAGGTTTAAATTATTCCATATCTCGTATGATGCTTTGTAGTTTGAATCTAGGGTGATCGATCTACATAAATTTGACTTCAAATAAAATGTTATGTTATGTAATATTGAAAATGTTGAGTTTTACTTGAAACTTTCATAATCTTTCATATTTTCTTGCTAACCAATGATCATAGAGTTCATTCACATAAATGTTTTTGGAAGAAAGAGAGTGGGATTTAAGATGTAAAAATTCACATCTTGGAAGGTCTTAACAGCCCCCAACTGTGAGAGCAATTCATTGTTACCATTTGAGAACAATACTTGTCTGCAAATTGATGAGTAGGAATGATTTTTTACTGACTTTTTGATACATTATATTTTTATTAGTTTATTTTTATTGCATCTTAGTAGAAAAATTAGTCTTAGTAAAATTTTTGAGCTACTAAAAATAAGCTACGTCATGGTAGGATCTCCTAACGACCAGTATAGAGGAAGTTTATTACATTTAGAAGAAATTATTGGAGAAGACTATCATAATATAGTTGACACCTTTATATGTTGAATTCGTGAGATAAACTACAAAAATTGTTATTAAGAGATATGAAAATTCTCAAATCACACTGTGGCAGTGTCATTCAATGATATTTCTACATTTTGGGCATATACAGTGTTCTTTCAATCAATTAAGAGAGACTTTGTTTAATGTAGTCAATAGTTACATTTCTTGATTATTTTAATTGCCTATAGGGAATATGAGGTCTATCACATTTTGGGAACAAACAATTAATTCATTGAATTACTGTGTGCTAATGTTCATAGAAATGCCTAAATAAGAGTTGGGGGATATTTGGTTTCAAGGAAGTTTGGAGGATATTAATAGAAATTTAGATGTATTGAATTGAAAAATAGCTGTGCGTGTTTCTTTATATAGAAAAACAGGATTTGTCTATCAGTCTGGAACTTTAAAAGGATGCCAGAAAAAAAAAATTAAATAAAAGGACAAATATGGTTGTTGTAGTATTCATCTTGAGAAATGTAATAAAATTGTTGTTATTTTACTTTATAAATTTCCTTTGTAATGTTCTCAATCTAAACATAATTTAATAGATAAAATATGAATTATATCTTTTTAAAGTTTAAACTTCCATACTCCATATTTGTTTGAAGTAAATAAAAAATATTATTGTGAATTTAAGTTTATGTATATTAGATTCTTTTAAAAGCGTTTGTACTTGCATATGCATATGAGTATGGTTTATTATAATTAAAAAAAAGTATCATTCTTTACGAATTACTTGGATTTAATTTAAAGAAAAGTTTTTATGTGGTGATGAATAACAATTTTGTAACTAACATAGAATATATGCATCCTTAAAACTTACTTTTCTCTGTTCAAATTTTATATATGTTTATAGATAGCATCTAAATTCCACGTTTAGGATTAAAAAAAAAAGAAGTTATTTTAACACCACTGTTAATTACAAATGTTATGGTAATTTTATTGCGATAATTTAACTAATTGAGACATTGTAGATTTGTCAATTATAAAATTTGTCGGCACAATTATGAGCTTTCAACACCGACCTTTTACTTGAATCTCAAAGTTTAATACTTTTAATCTTAAGACATCGAATCCCCACATCTAAGGTGAATAATGTCTTAGACAGCAATGTTTGATAGGTTGATATAGATCTTAAAATGGAAGCACTCAATTTTGTATGAAGTGAGTTGGAATTAAAAGCAAGGGAATTCTATTTTTGTCCACGTTCGCATGTGATAAAAGCCGTACACCCACCAAATAAACACACCCAGTTGCAGAGAGTGAATAAGATAAGGCTCAAAATAATGCAAAAGTAAATTGTTTATTGCAGTATGCGATTTATGATTCATGGAGAAGTTGGGGATCCAAAGAGAGAGAGAGAAAGAAGAAAGTAGAGAGAGTGAAATATGGGAAGACAAAGACGTGGCCAAAAGTGCGATGATCAAGTCATTGGAGCAGAGCCCATCGATTCGAGCCGTCCACATCCCTTCCAACCAAACACAGCTGAATTCTCAGTCTCCACTCACTCCCTCACTCTACGCTGCTCCCTTCTGTTCTGTTATCATTTATCAAACAACTAAAAAACACCTAAAAATCTAATCTTTTTTTCTTCTCTCTCTACAATCATCACCCCATTTTCCTCTTCCTCCCGCACTTAAATTAAACTCATAATTCATTTAATTTAATTTCCGATTCGTCTTGTCCATGCCAGTTCCCTTCACTTTTTTCATTAATTAAATTTTGTTTCAGCTGCCTTTTTGGGTTTTGGGTTCGTGTTTGTTTTGATTTGGGTTATTACATGCTTTTATTTAGCATGTCTAGTGGTGTGCCTACTTTTTGTAGATTTTATAATGAATTTCTTGGTATTGGGGGAAATTTTAGCAAAAAATAGAAACTGCCCCAAACTGAACTGGGAAAAACCCTTCCTTCCCCATTTTATAATCGTTTAAACTAAGTGAGATCCTATGGGAGTGGTGGTGCTTTCTAGTTCTTGTTCTTCCCCAAGGGTAAGAGTAAAGGGTTGGTTGGTTTAGGTTTGGCCAAAGTCCTTTCCTTTTCCTTTTGGGCCCATCTCTAAATCTCTTTCATGGGTGGTGCTGATCAAAAGGGCGATGTGTCCTCCACTCACGACTATGATTCCTCCTCCCCTAAAGACCCACTTGAAGATACTTTAGAAACACGGCCCCACGGCGGCGGCGGCGGCCTCCTCCTCCACCACCACCATC